GGTAATAATTTTAATATTATTATTACAACACAAAATTTAATTTCATACATAAAAAATTGTATCATATCATATTGATAGTGTTCTTCGAGAAAAATTCAACTAAATTACACAACGCCGCATAATTAAAAGCAACCAAAATTTACGATATTAATTCGTAAAAATACTACCAAATACATAATAATCAGCACACTAGTTTTTATGGCACAAGGTTAATTTTTCCATAATTATATACCTAGAGGTAAAAAGCATGACAACACTTATCAATAAAAAATAAATGCCTCAAACTCATTAAAGAATATTAATTGATATTAATGACATTGTTAACTCAATTTTCAATATTTAAACAAATTTTCCTTTTTCTACTTATATTCTACTTACTACATAAATATATCTTTCCAACAGTTATTTTTCTAAAAAAAAAAAGACGCAAGACGAACAACAATATAATTATGGCCAACAGTATGTTCCCTTCCAAAATAAAAGTTGTACGCTTTGCGATTATTGTGAGTTACAGACATTTAAAGTTATTTTTAAAACGCATCGATTACTGTACAATTTTTATTAAACAGATTTAATGGTTTAAACAACGCCTTCCTACGTGTAGAACATAAAATTTACATAGTGTTTACATACTATACTCAGCAAACACACAATGTAGAAGACCAATAATGTGTGATAGAAAAAACAAATCTCTAAAAAAAAAAACAAATATATACATAATATAATAATAATATATTCGTATTTTTTTATCGAACAATGACCTTAAAAATATGCGAGTAAAGGTGGACAACTACCTTGAACTTGAAAGTAGGTGGTCAAATAATTGCAAAATGGACAATAATCGCAACACGAGTACTATTACTAAGGAGTAAGCACACCTCTTAGCAGAATTCCGCACTTAACGAACACTCGATCAATAGCTTTTGAGGGAATTTATTGCGCGTTATAATACTTGCACAATAACAATAGATGATGGAGAGCGATTTGAGAACAAGGATACCCACACTAGGCTATCAGATTTCAAAGAAAAGTGCATAGAAGGACACGCTTTGTGGTTTCTAGCAAATAAAACCATATCCGAACTAGACTGGATGGAATCACGATGGATTTGAAATTACTTAATGTGTCTGGTGGATGTCTGAAGAATGGAAACTCTGCTTATACCTTATATAGTAGAACATCCCCCATTCCCTAAAAGTATTGTAATTTTAAAGATACAAACGAATCAGCAAACATATTTCAGATTTCTATGTATACATTGTTGATAGTTATAGAAATAAACTAATTAGTGCCAAAGTAAGCCTAAGATTTATATTCAGTGCATGAGACTAAGCGAAAAAGAGGACTAAATTAACTACAGTAGTTTAGGTGAAAGAAAATACATAAAGTTTAAACTTATCCCCTCCCCTCCCCCTTTTGCCCAAACACCACAGATGTAAAATACAATAACTGAACAACTATTTAGACGGTGAACTAAAGACATTATAGGGTTTCAATAATTGATGAACACAATAACGTGCCAATGGAGCATATGAGACATCAATATGACCTTGCTGGTGATATTATTATTATTGTTTTCTGTAGTAACCCATATAACGTAAATTTGAGACCTCTACTCGACTAATAGGTATAAGAAACCAAACCGAAAGGATCAAGTTTCACGACAGCAACAACACCTACTTTATATGTTACAGGAAGATCAAAAAAACTTATATAAATGGTTTCTAATAAATTAAAATGACAACCATGACATTTATTTGGAACCTAATTAGTTGTAAAAATAAAAACATATTAAATACAACTTAAAACTTGTTTTATAAATTATATTTTACCTTATGTTATAAGGTATAAAATCTTATATTAATCATGTATAATATATAAGATAGTTTTTTAAAAAAATGAATCCGATTGAAATAAGTGGTTTTGCCATATTTTTTTAATTTTTTTTTGTGAATTAGACAACATACTTTTAAATTGAACTCTCCAAAATCTGTTATAAAATAAGATAATATTTTTAAAGTTTGCGGGATTTAGATATCGGAGAAGGGGGGGGGGGAGAGGTAAACATTTTTAAAACATTATTTTCAGACTAACCCATCAATTAAATTGAATTAGAACTTAGTGAAAGTCAAAATTAATAATACCTCAGTTAACAACCACTCCAAAACGTTGGCCATCGCTGGAAAGCCTTATGTGGCGTACCATATAATATTATAATATACATTTGTCTTCAGTACACATTTATATCCTTAAAACTGCGTTTATTAAATAATTTTTAAAAAAAACAATCGTATTTAAATACACGCCAGAACTACAAACGCGTCTCAAATATATCATACTAGAGACACCTTAAAAACTAAACATACCTCCTTACGTACAAACATGACAACACGGCACTTCCAAAGACTAAACGCGCAGTTTTATCAAAAATTAAACAACAATACAACTCGACACCGTTGAGCAGCGGCTGTTAAAATAATAATAAATACAACAAAAAACACACACAAAACGTCACATTATAATGCGGAAACAAGCTTTTACGACCAGTTTCCGGCGTCAAGTCCGGATACAACATTGTACGCGCAATTGGAATTCTAGTCGATAATTATTTTCATTTATAAGTATGTGGATTTTACTAGTGTTTAGGAGTGTCAAGGCCACAAACCGTCCATCAAATACAAATTAACCTACCCGCCATGCCATCGAATAAACCGCATACAAATATCCGAAATGCAAAGAGATCCTACCCACAGACAATGCACTATGACTGAATGCGATTCGTCCGATAAATAGGAGTTTTCCCATTGTCATTTTTTTAGACTTTGCCGTTCTTCTTCGGCTGTCAGCAGTGCTCTAATACAGCCACTAAAACCTTTTATATTATTATATCCTACTAAGTACTACAGATGAATATAATAAACTAGATTGCTAACTAGTGATAAGAATTTAAGTCGACGTCCGCTATTTTTGTGGGATTTATGTATGTATAAAATAATACATACATACTTGTGATTCTGTGTTATCAACTTGACTTCATATTTTCATATGATAAGGTTCTATTTCCCACAAAGATGGCGGGCAAATAGTAACTTCTATTATCTCTATTGACGGCATGTACACGCTTAGACAGGTGTATCCTATCGACTATGTATATCAGGTGGTCGCAATAAGTAAAATTGTATGAATTAAACGAAAAGGCGAGCTGCAGTGTAACATAATATGTTTAAATTGTTTTACTACTGCAACTATGTGATACAAAACTTATGACTTATCAGTTGTAATATTATCATAATATGAAATTTTAATTTATCTATTGATCTGCATAGTCGATAAGGATTAGAGTGTGCAGTGTTTATCAACTTATAAAAAAAAATATTTATTTTTATTGAAAGTGGTCACACTGCCGCTTGCCTTCTTGATTACTTCGTTATCGAGTACAGGACATTATAATATGATGTTATAGCTTTATATATTTTTTTTTACTCAATCATGTATATTTAAAACAAATTTTGCGGGATATATTATCATATAGAGCTGTTGCTGACGTTTTCAAGCTGTATGATGTATAATATAAAGTAATAATAATGGTGGAAAAAAAGCAACGCGATGATCGTGGTTCCTCGGGATTTCCCACGGCCTTCGAAGATGTGCCTGCCGCATTGTGCATCGGACACAACCGTCTGGTGTCGTTAACACTTTGGTGAGTCTGTAATAATAATATATACTATAATATACTAACAGCTGAATGCCATTATGTTTTCTTGAGCATTGACGCTACGATGTGACCGTCACTGCCGCATTAACTACACGACAACATCATCATCGTCTTCGTTGGGACCGTCGAATTTTATAGTCACAAAAGTTCTTGTCATAATATCGTTATTACATATTGTTGTTGTTGTTATTATTATTTTTATCGCTACGCATATACCTACATAATATAACCGTCGGCGATAATAAAAAAAAAACACCCAAAGCCAATACAATAAAGACTTAGAAATTAAGATTCCTAAGTATGTGCGTGAATGACAATGACCGGCCAAACAGACACCAAACGAATAGCCATACGGTAGTTGATGTGTTCGATTGAAGTCCACAAGACGACTTGGAAATCACATTTTAGTTTTTATTAATTTTGAAAAATGTCTCCGGAATAGCTTTCCGGAGTTTGTTACCACACTGTTAATATACTGCACACGGATTAGCATCACAAACCAGATGCTGCCTTAGATAGTGAAGTCATTTCTATCAATGCCATTTACTTCCAATGGTCTGAAAATCGTATAAATTGATAAAATACACGTTTAGGCATTAAAGCATTTTAAAGCGACTACAACGGCTTCACTCTAAATTCTAATCGCGTAATGCCAAAAAACCTTTACAGTATATTGCAAACGAGTTTATTATCTACAAATATGTTTACACGTTAGATAACAATATTGGAATCTAAGAAAACTTTAAAACAATCAAAATGCCTCCATGGATGAATTACAGGATTTTCACTGTCAGTTATAAGTGTAGATATAGACTAATAAATTAACTGTAGCAATATAATAGTATTGCATAGTATGTTTGTTTTAAGAAACTCGAGTAAACCCTTCCAAAACCTAACTGTCGCTGTTTTTACTGCACTATTGTTATTGTTTCCGTATTCGTATTACATCTAACAGAATAATATTTTTTTAACGATTTTTAATCTGTGAATAATTACAATAAAAAAAAAAAACTTTTATTTAATCTTTACGATGATTGTTTATGTGCAATAGTATTAAAATATAAAACGTTAAGTAACATGAGTAGTATATCATTCAGTTATTTATTTTTTTGCCATTGTTGTAGTAGTTGGTAGTAATATAAATTTTATTATTTTTTCATATGCCTTGGTATCTTGTGCTATCATAGTATTTTGTGTCTTATACAAAATACGAATTTCTAACGTCAATTTGAGAATTTGCATTCAAAAGGCAAACATTTTATCTTGCATAGAAAAGTAAACTTACCGGCTTCCGACTTTGAAGACGATGACAACGATTCGGCGCCATTGATGCGCATTTTGGCGTTTCCTTTGTTTTGATGAAAACTACTTCATATCACTTGTCTGAAAAATATTTTCATCGTATTAGATTTTTAATATTAAATTTTTAATTAATGAACAACTGCATAAATTGCCTACTATCGTAAAGGGTTTAAAACACAATAATTCAACGTATCTCTCGAATGTAAGTAAATAAAATGAATGTACTATTGTTTTACATGTTAAGCTTGTTTTATTTATACTGCTCAAAACATTAACGGATCCAGTGGGACTATTTTATTTGAGAAAAACGCATTAGCATAATAAAAAATTTTCGACCTCGGACGTCCTATCAAAGTACCTAAATAACAGACACTTCTAAGGATTTTCTTAAATAATTGAATTCTATATCACAAACCGAAAGACCGTGAGAACGGTACGCTTCCCGAGTAATATTAATTAATAACGTGTACACTAAAGGAGGACGCGGGGATAAGTTTCAAAACGTCTCTAACGTCTAATACGTGTAATCATAGACATTGTCGAGTGAAATCTACTTAACCGCCGCCGCCGCCACAGATGATGATAATAATATAGTATAAAATTGCAATACTGATCCTTTAAAAGGAATACAAATCCAACTTTCGTTTTTGCCACCAATGCAGTGTCGACTACCGATATTATTTATCATTTGTATGCTATACGTTTCACGCGTTATCGGCCAAAACTGTCATATTATACTGGTTTTGTGTTTATGGTCTAGTTGATATTGCAAATGACAATATTGACGCAATACGTCTCTGGTTATTTTCTATTAATTGACATTTCCAACATAAAAACAATAGACAACACATTGCACAACCCAACCGTCATCGTCGACGACATAAACGTATATTTGTCGATGCTTTTGTTTAAAAAAAAAATAAAATAAACACTTCTTTAAAAAAAAAACACACAAATTATACTAACAAAATAAATGAAAACTTGTTTATTTTTCAATTTTTTTATACTGTTACTATTTTATTGGTATATAGAAAAACACAATTAAAAAAATGCGTAATATTCTGTAAATACTGAAAATATTAAAATACCTCGAATTATGTTAAATAATATGCAGTTAACATTTTTGAACTTTGATCCTTTAAAATGCAATTCGATTTTGTAGCTCATATTATAGCTATTTTCGGACCATTTTATAAAAACGTGCACAAACCGGGCCCTAACAACAATATTTCATAACTTTAGTTATACCTACATGGTGATTTTATTTTATTATAAAAAAAAAAAATTAGTGATACATTTGCGTGGATGCAACCGAGATACACATAGACGAGGGCTCACAGGGAAACACCCTCTCTCACTATGAGCCCCCTGTCCTTGGTTACTTGTATTGAAATTGTCAACTTGCGTTTGCAATTCGTAATACAATCTTACATATGTTTTCACCCCATTAATGTTGATAAGGAAAAATATGTAATAATCTAGAAACAGCTCCCCGAAACCAGAATAAAAGCAGAATAATTCTGCTATAATATTTTTATCATTTATTGCGAACGTTTAAAAAAGGTGCGTTTACACGCGTGACGTTGTTTAAGCGCAATTATTAAGCACACGCCAGTAGGTCTTATTATGTATAATGTATGTTCACACCCGGAAGTAAAACCAGAGGTATTCCCGCATTCTACCGATCAATATTGCCGGTACGTGTAGCTCTCGATTTGATACGACTCGTGGAACGTCTCCGGACGACCCACTTACCGAAAAATGACAAATACCTACACAGCAAACTACTTATGATGCCAAGTATGTACACACTGGGCGATTGCACCGAAGATGAAGGCGTTCGACATCACATAAACGCAACAAGTTCGCCGTCCGTTTGTCGGACGCGCCATGTTGCCAATGAAAATGCCCAAGTCATCGCAATTCCAAAAAAAGGGGGGGGGGAGAGGCACAAAGCAGACATAGTCTCTTATGTTGTTCGTGAACCGGTCAAAGACAACGACAAAAGTCAAACACGCTAACTGGTGCGCGGTTTGCGTGAAAACAAAATATATATATATATATATATATATATATACTCTAAATATGCACTTAATTCACTTTCACTGCACGATCAACGCACCCAAAGTCACACACCGTGTGACTTGACTTCCAGACGGAACGAGGACCTGCGTCGTAACCGATTTTGCTACCATTTGTGTATTATGTAAATGTTTTATGCAACTAAACGAAATACATGCAATTTATAAATATATATTTATTTACATTTAGAGTGTATTATTTTCGTCGGAGCAACGTGTTTAATTGATGTAATATCTTACTTGGAATTAAACGACATTTTTTTCTATTATTATTATTATGAACGATAATCGGAATTGTCTTACTTACATTTTCATTTTTTTGTTATATGCTGGCTTTATAATAATGAGTTGCGCAATATTCAGAATGTGTGTCGAAAAAAAAATAATAATAAATGATGAAAGCCGATTTCATGCCTGGTGAAGCTTAGCAAAAAAAAAATATATATGAAAAAAAACATTGTACACAATAATTAAACGAAGTGAAGCGAACGTGGCGTGCGCGTTATCACGTGGTACTATGCAAATCAAAAAATTTGAATTAACTTGTACAGAAAACAATATAGATAGTAAAGTTAATTAACAAAGTTTTTTAATTACATAAACCACATTTAGATGAGTGAGACGATACAGCTGAAGTCAACAGCTATTATCGGTAAATGAAATAAATAAAACGGTTAATTATATGTTCACCTTCATAACGAATCCGGTCGACTATTATTTCGTGCCTTCTATATAAGTATAGTTTTCAACTTTTTACTACAACACACTTTTCCTACTATGGAAACTAAAATCAATGCCAAACACAGTCGAACGGTTAAGTATAGTAAACACAAATCGAACTGATTAAGATAAATGTGTTATACGGAAAGGTCATTAAATACATAAAACGCCTCTATTTGGTAAAAATGCAATATTTTTGTATCTTTCGCAGTGCGACAACATAATATGCTACCTTTTTTTTCTATACATCCATAGAGACCAAAAGAGAAAGGGCGGGGGGGGGGGTTTAACTAATAAGGTATTGGTAATTTTCCCGGGCCCCGGAGCCGTTAATTATACATCAAATAAACGTACAACTGTTAACATACAAAACCTGACTGACGGCCATTAACGGTGCCCATAGGACAATAATTGTTTAAATTGCTCCAGTCTAACTATTTAGGTAATTATCTAAATTTACTCTCGACATTAAGTTGTTTACTAATAAGTCAGTCATCCGATATTATAAATAGGGCAACAAGCGTGTATGATTAAAAATGTACACATAACAAATCCGAAATTCAAGTCGTTAGTTATTCTCCAGCTTCATTATCTTGGTTTCTAGTTTATTGACTTCTTCTCGTAATTGGTCTACGTCAACGGTTACTTTAGTGAGTATTTTTTCCAATAAATCTTTTTTGGCGTCCAAGTTTTCGACCATGCGCCGTTCGCCAACGATTCGCTTTAAATCGCATTCGAACATTTGCAGTTGACTCTCCATGGCAACTATCTTAGCCGCGTGGTGGTCCAAAATCCTCAAAGAATAGTCCACTAAACTATTGATAACGCCTATGACGTTTTCGGCAGCACTGTTTTCGTGTAAACCGCAACCCGGATCGTATTCCAAAAGCAATTCCAACAGATCCGAAAAGATCTCCTTCTCGTTGTCGCATTTTCGCCATAGTCTAATATTCTTAAGCCACTGCTTATTGTATTCCTGCTCGATATTCATCAGAAGACCCGTGCTTCTTAGCGGTATCGAAGTTTGGTTTACCTCTTTCCCAACATGATCGCCCGACATTTTGTAACACGAACATGTATTTGTTTAATTCAATGCAACGTTATTATATCAATTATATATAAAGAAACAGAAACCGTCTCGTAGTAACACAACAACACAGTCAAACCAATGCGAATATAGGTAATAACTATCTATATTATACATAAGGGCATTACATATTTAATCTTTATGCATACACATTTTATGAACGCGTAGATTATGTATATAATATACATATGTTATATGTATATTAAACTTGAAAGTATGCGATATGTCTTAATTGCGTAACGCGGATATAAGTGCGTATCTAAAGCGTGTAGATTAAGAATAATGCTTGTAACGTTGCAATCAAAAAATAGTGTAGTATAATATTCGATACACGTTGTATAGTAAAGAAGTGGAAAATGTTTAAAGATCTTAACAAACAGCGCACTAAGTATACCTAAAAATTTTTCAACAGTATTTTATACTAGAAAAAATATTATTTTGGTCTTAAAGCTATTAAAAAATAATTAACCATTAATTTGTAATGTATTTAGTAGTTTGTCGGGTAACTATGCAAGTACCAATAAATGGTATACATTAATAACAAAACTCAACATTAACTGAACAATGTGTTTACAAAATACATTATTCAAATACAATAGCATAGTAATAGTATAGTACTGTGTACATTACCTGAGAAAATCAAGATGGTAAATCAATCGACAACATAAAAACCATCTAAACGCAGCTCCGTGTAGACACTAGACAGTAGACATATTAATGCAGACCAAAGAAAAACACTTTCCACGCAAAATAAAATTGCACTACAGTCGGAACACCTGGCCTTCCACCATAGCGAAACTACCTTGGGCCAATGAACTAAATGTGAATCATTTTCGTGATGTATTTTAATCACTTCCAGCTTCACTAGTCACACGACCGGAAAAATTAGCCAGATAGCGTGGCTAAACATATTTATTTCTACTATAAAGACGTATCAAGTGATAGTCAACACGGCAACTTTTACAAATCAAACGACCTCTATAGATAAAAATGCATGTAATTCTTGTTATACGGTATTGTCCCATTTCAAAATTAAATATCTTTACATCCGTGTGATAAACACATCAAAATACATTTGTAGAAAAATTCAGATTCGAGCGTGAAACATAAATCATTTTTTTCTCTTGTCAAAAAAATAAATGACCTGTGAGCAAATTGCAATTTTTTAAATTTCACTTTTTCATTAACACACT